TAGCTCTGTATTCCCAGAGCTTTTAGATCGATCTATCCCAGCGGGGAGTCTCACTAGATTACTGTCAGATAATCCGGCTTAAATGTCCGTCCCGCCTACTACAAGCTTTAAGGGGGTAATTAACTTTCGTGTCCGCCCGGCTGACAGCTATTTAGCGTGAACCCCCAGGGAGTTAGGTCGATCTAAAGTAGATCGATCTAATCTCTGGAAATGGGGTCTAGGTTTTCAGGCACATGGACCTCACAAGTAACAATATTTTAATCAATAAAGAACTATTAATTTTGACTACCAGACTAAAATCTTAGTAACTCATCCAAACTAGATTAGAATATTATGATAACTAAAAATGACACTACTATAACAAGCAAGGCATAATTTTCACACTTCTTGGGAGTAGATTTCATAAGATATGTATGGTCTGATGGAATATTTCATAATAATAATAAAACAAATAATCTAGTGCAAAACTATAAACACTATTAATCATGCATGACTTTGCGGTATACTGCTACAGCCTGATAACCCACTAAACGAATATTCAACAAACAAGCTAAATATAATACACTACATAAAATGTCATGGAGCAGACACCTTGAAACACTCAAAATGTGTATATTTGTGAGACCCAAAGCTCATTTTCTCACATGTATCAAGAGATTCCTAGGGTGGGAGGAGGAGCACATTCCTGTAACACGTATAATGATAACTCAGGGAAGTGATCACATTGACTGAACTGATTTATATCATGAAAATCATTAATTAAACAAGCCTTATATCTGGGGGTCCTAAAATAACATTCACATCCTATGAAAAGCATGTCTTGTGATCTATATGCTACCTTTTTTTGACTATGGACCTTGGCAATAATTCCAATATATATGCTATATAATGAAAACATTAAAATCATATCAGAATACTGAAATAAATTTATTGCAATGTTCTTTTGCGTACTTCTTTGTGTCTGAGAGCTCTATTGCACATGATACAAGTTTTTGAGAGGCTTTAAAATAATGTTTTGTGACTGTCGTGACATAAGGATGCAAAACTAGACCTAATTACCTTTCAGTTCAATGCACATGATTTCTGCTGGCAGTCCAGGTTTTATAACTCTAAAAATGAAACTTTTTAGTCCTATATACAATGGTATGAGAAACATGCTTTACAGTAGATCCAACATCTTATAATACTACTGTTACTACATACAATGCTGAATAAGGTGTTCAAATTATCACAAATATCAAGAAGTTTTTAGGTTCATACACATGAATCTTTTGAGAAAGTTCACTGTATCACATTAATTGTGGCCCCATATACAAACAAGATCAAATATTTTTTTCATTCTACAACAGAATCAAACACAAACAACAATTGCAGTTTGTTCATGTAAAAGCTTGTACGTTTATTTGGATTTCTTTGATGAGTGTTGAAACAATTTCTTCCTAGAACAGTTTCTTATCATAATGTCTAGTGACTCAGTGTCAAAAATTGACCAACAAAGTTTGCCACTCCAAGGAAGATGATGAAGCTGTGTATGGCTATCATAGGCCAGGTGAATTTGCCATCTTGTTTCAACTTGAGCATGTACCGGTATATCAAACATGGCAGTGCAAAAATGAGCGAAACTCCACAAAAAGCGCCAGCAAATCTGTAATAAGAATTATAGAGATACTGCAGTGGTAAAATATTGGCAGACCACAGGCAGTGACTTCAAATAGTTTTATGACTAAAATATTTTGATTTACAGCAATTTTCTTTTCTGTTCATAACACAAATTACTTATGACAAAATATGTTTCACAAAAGTTAAAACAGTTTGCAAAGTTATAAGAAAACAATCAAATATACAGAAAAATATCACAAATGTATTTATTTCATCATATGTTATTACTGAGATCATCATTTGCAAAAATAAATGTTTAAAATAATTAATTTTTCTGCACTTCATACACAACAGTACTGTAAAGGAACATTCACAATTACATTCTTCTACAGTTTGAACACTTTAACTGTGAACCATTCATTCTCCAGAGATAAACCAACCAGAGAGAGAGAAAGAGAGAGAGAGAGAGTGAAAAGCATTGCTTAATATAATCATTACTGATCGACCTCTCTTCTTAACTCAATTACAATGGCAATATGGCAGTGCACAAGTGGGTCTTTAAAATCAAATTCATGTACATGTACTCTTCCGACATTCTATGCTGCCAAATTAAGGAATCAAAATTAGAGAGAAAAATGGCAATTCACTACCTTATGATTGTTCCAATCTGGGGCAGAAATACAGCAAAGAGTATACACATGGCAATCAGAACACATGCTTCAGGCTGCAAATAAGAAGTGTCATTTGCTTATAGCACTGTGCAAAGGAAATAAGTAAATAAAATTTTCATTTTTATGCTCTCATGCATGTTTTGGCAAACAAAAATTCAGGTCAAAATTACATTACGAATTAAAACAAGTGTTATAAAATCAATTGACAATTTTTTTTATAAAAAGCAAAGTGGCAAAAAATGTTTCCAAACACAGCATGTAGCCTGATCATATACTGTATGTGATGAGAGGAAATACTGTGGTCATTTGGAAAAGTAGAAATATT